CCGACTACAGCACCCCGAGAAGAAGTTCCGCGAAGGCCTCAAGGTCAAGGCCCGAGTTCTGTCTACCGATATGTTCAAACGACAGATCAAACTCACATTAAAGAAGACAATAGTGAACTCTGAAGCGAAACCGCTGCAAACTTTCGATGAGCTTGTCGTAGGGGCACAAAGTCCCGGAACCATCGTCAAGGTTCTCGATAATGGAGCTATTGTTCAATTTTACGGATCTTTGCGAGGTTTCCTGCCTGTTTCAGAGATGAGCGAGGCCTACATTCGAGACCCCAGGGAACATTTTCGACCAGGTCAAGTCGTCAGTGTTCACGTTCTTGACTTCGACACTGCTGCCCAGAAACTGTTTGTATCATGTAAAGATCCTTCTGCCTTTGGCATAGAAAAACAAAACGCGCTCAAGAAACTGAGCATAGGAGAGATTGTATCAGCCAAAGTGGTGCAAAAGACTGAGGATGATGTTCATGTCGAATTGGTTGGCAGTTCACTCAAAGCGCTTCTCTCCTTGGGCCAACTCGCGGACCGTCCGAGCAAATGCAAGTCTTCCATGAAGGGCATCCGCGTTGGTCAGACCCTTGCTGAGCTCATGGTACTTGAGAAGAACGAAGGCCGGCGGTCTGTGACATTATCAAAAAAGCCCACTCTCATCCAAGCCAGTCAGGAGGGCAAGCTTTTGACAGCCTTGGATCAAGCTCAGATAGGCGAAGTTCGACAGGCTTTTGTGAAGAACATTACCGCAACAGCTGTATTCGTGCAGTTCGCCAGCCAACTCACAGCTCTTCTACCCAAGTCTAAAATGCCTCGAGAGGATCAAGAGAAAGTGGGCTTTGGTCTTCAGAAATACGAATCCATCGCTGTCAGAATCGATTCAATAGATAGGGAGAATGGACGCCTTGTTGTTGCTTCCGCAGCTTTTGCAGACCAACGTCCAACAAACACCCGTTCCACACCGACGGAAAAGCTACAGAATCCGATAGATGATGCTCTGAAATCGACGGACGACATATTTGTGGGCAAAGTCACAAAAGCCAAAATTATATCAGTAAAAAACACCCAGCTGAATGTTAAGCTGGCCGATAACATACAGGGACGTGTCGACGTAGCCCATGTATTTGATACCTGGGACGAAATCACCAACCCGAAGGCTCCTCTCAGTGGATACCAGGCCAACGATGTAATTCAAGTACGGGTCCTGGGTCTCCATGATGCAAGGAACCATCGGTATTTACCCATCTCACACCGATCATCCCACTCTGTTCTTGAACTTTCAGCCAAATCGAGCGATCTAAAAGATGATCAAGCCCCTGAGTTAACCTTGAGCACCCTTGAACTCGGCTCGACAAATATCGGCTTTGTCAACAATGTCCAACAAAACTCTCTTTGGGTGAATATAACGCCAAACCTCAGAGGCAGAATCAATATGGTTGAAATCTCCGATGACGTGTCTAAACTTGAAAATCTCTCGACGAATTTCCCGGTCGGCTCCGCCTTGAAAGTACGGGCGATAGGTATCAATTCGGCAGATGGCCGTTTGGACTTATCGGCACGCTCCTCTACCGCCTCTGCTCAAACTACATGGGATACCATTAAACGCAATATGGTCCTTCCGGGCAGAATCACAAAAATCAATGAGCGCCAGGTTCTCGTGCAACTCAGCGATTTAATTTCCGGGCCCGTCCATCTCATCGATATGAGTGATGATTATGCGGAAGCAAATACTCTATCTTACAGCAAGAACAGTGTTATCCGCGTTTCAGTAGTAGAGATCGATAAGAGTAACAAGCGCCTACGACTTTCGCTGCGCCCTTCAAGGATTCTAAGCTCCTCCTCACCCATCAATGATCGCGAAGTTACCGCTTTCACTCAACTGAGCGTCGGTGATGTAATTCGTGGATTTGTGAAGAATGTTTCCGACAAAGGCTTATTCATCGGCCTGGGTGGTGATATCACAGCAATGGTCCGGATCTCGGATCTTTCTGACAGATATATCAAGGAGTGGAAGGACGAGTTCCAAATTGATCAACTGGTAAAGGGACGTATCACATCCATTGATCCTACGACAAAGCAGATCCAGATGAGTTTGAAAGCATCGGTCGTGGAGAGGGACTTCGTGCCGCTGATCAATTATCAAGATCTTCGTGCTGGCCAGATTGTCACGGGCAAAGTCCGGAAAGTCGAAGAGTTTGGTGCCTTCATTCTCATCGATGGATCTGCCAACGTCAGCGGCTTATGCCATCGAAGTGAAATGGCCGAGAAACCCATACAGGACGCAAAGAAGCTTTTGAGCGAAGGCGACGTGGTCAAAGCCATCATACTGGACCTCGATCAACAGAAGAAAAGAGTTAGCTTCGGCTTGAAGCCTTCGTATTTTGAAGACGAGGACAGCGACATGGACGAAGACGATAGCGACGATGAAGAAGACGGCGGTGCTGGTACTCTTTCTTCAGATGGGAACGAGGACGACGATGATGAAGACGACGAAGACGATGAAATGGACGACGCTGATAGCTCTATTGTCATCGGGGGTACCGATGCTAACCAACTCTCCTCCGACGTCGAAGACACAGAGATGGGTGATGGGACTATTGGTGATGTTGATGCCCTCGGCGTCGGAGAATTTGATTGGTCTGCGACAGCACTTGACGAAGCGGACGAAGTTGGCTCGAATGTTGATCAAGACGCACAGCAGGATAAGAAGAAGAGGCGGCGGAAAGCCCAGGCTGAAGCAAGCAGAAGCGGAGGATTAGGCATCACCGGCCCGCAGACTGCGGTCGACTTCGAACAGCTTCTCAACCGCCAGCCCAATTCGTCTGATCTGTGGACTCGCTATATGGCTTTCCAGATGCAGGTTAGCGAGCTGGCCAAGGCCCGCGAGGTTGCTGAGCGTGCTATCACCACTATCAACAGTTCTGAAGAGACGGAGAAGTTGAATGCTTGGATAGCATATCTTAACCTTGAAGTGCGGTTTGGAAATGAGGATACCACGGAGAGTGTCTTCAAGCGCGCATGCCAGGTCAACGACCAACAAGAAGTCCACCAGCGTCTTGCCAGTATATATGTTCAAGATGACAAACCTAAAGTAAGTGTAGCCGATTTATACCTATGTACTAAAGCCAGTGCTAACAGTCTTTTAGAAAGCGGACGAGCTCTTCCAGACCATTGTCAAGAAGTTTGGGTCAAATTCACACGAAGTCTGGCATAATTACGCTCATTGGTTGCATGCTATCCAAAATGAACCAGACCGTGCCCGAGCGCTGCTGCCTCGAGCTACACAGGCACTGCCATCACATGCCCGTCTCCCTCTCATGACGAAAATCGCTGCCTTAGAGTATACGTCTCCAAACGGCAGCGCCGAGCGTGGCCGAACGATGTTCGAGGGACTTATTGGTACATTTCCGAAGCGATTTGATCTATGGAGCCAACTCCTAGACCACGAGAATGGCCCAAATGCCGACAAGGCCGTCATCAGGGATGTGTTCGACCGAGCGACTAAGGTCAAGGGGCTGAAGGCACGAGCTGCAAAGAAGTGGTTCAAGCGCTGGGCCGACTGGGAACAGAAGAATGGTGATGCTAGAAGCCAGGAGAAAGTTAGGGCAAAGGCAGCCGAGTGGGTGAGACTCAGATCGGACGCAAGGAGAGACGGTGATGGCGAGGAAGATGAGGACGATGAATAAAGCACACACCCATCTGAGATACCAAAGCATGTATAACGGGGTAGCAGAAAAGGTATTGGTGATACCCTGACCAGTTGGTCGTATGCCTAAGGATTCACGAGGTAACCTTTAAAATCCAAATCAGCATAGCAATGAAATGTCATCCATTGAAGATGTTACGGTGTCAATATGTGAATAGAAAGGTATGTATGGACTTATCTGCCAATGAACTTGGATATATACCATTATATGTGGATGAATCATTGTCTCTCTTGATGAGTATGTAGTAATTGTCTAGCATGTGTCGTCCGTATGCCTAGGAGGTCCATGCGCTTGATGTGACCATTCAAAATACCTAGGTAATCAATTGCGCACTCTCAAGGTCCAAGACCTTCTAGTCGGTTGTTCAAGAGCGAGCTCTCGGAATATTGGTCACGACTAGTGCAGTCCCGGGGGCGCTCTTGTTCAATAGCTTGAGTTCATTGCTCTGGCTTAAGCAAGTCGACGTGAAGCCGCAGCAGATTGATACGTTTTGCACGTGTCATCTTGTAGAAGTTGTGCTTCAACTACGACATTTTATTTCATTGCCTTGCGATTGATTTCCTGATGACACTTTCAATGGTAAGGATACTCGATGTTGCCCTATCTATGAGTTGCCGGTATGGAATAATTGAAAATGACATCCCTAGTTTCGCTAATTTCAGAGTTCGCCATACAGATCTTTCTCCGCGGCTCGTAAGTGACAACACAGACCACCAATGTAGGATCGAGATGATATGACGGCATGGGTGATATCTCCTCGGTACCTCTGAATTATAGTATCTGATCAAATGTATGTAGGTCCTGATGGGTGGATATGTGTACCACGATAATTGCCTCTGAAATAACATCATTACCCGAGTGGCTCAATGGTATTATTATACTACTTTTCAGTCCCTGTCAGCCTACATCTTACTTGATACTTAGTATGTTATTTGTTTTTAGTTACATAAAAGGCAATGCTAAAGTTAGTAAATCTAGCATTGAAAAACTACCTCAAGGGCTGTAATATAGAGCCTTATCGACAATATATGCCGGGCAGCGTCGAAATTGATTATATAACTCGGCAAATGAAAGATAGACCTTATAGCGTCGAGCCTTCTCAATAGCTCTAAAACCAAAACAACGCTCTTGTAGCCATCAAACCTTCGCGTCAGAGAACCATCAAGGTCCAGGACAGGTTGGCGACCCGGATGGCGCTCCAAGTGAGTTATGCGCCAATGACTCATGGGGGCTAGGCGTAACACACATAAAGAGATGACTTACAATATAGTTCTAAATGAGTGATGATTCCCATGAGTCTCTGTGGGGTAGTGGTAACCTGCGTTGAAGTAGCTTTCGGCCGCCGCTGTTCGAGACGCTGGTTCGACTCCAGCCAGAGATCTTTTTTCTTTCATGTCTTGCTGTCCACATTTCTTTTATGTCTTGCTTTACTTTAAGCTATAAATCTAATTCTTCATTTGGAAGGTTAAGGATAGATTTGGTACCAAAAATGCGGTCTATCCCACTTAAGACCAACCAACTCACAACGCAAGCAAATCTTTTACAATCTCTTTACGCAAGTCGCAGGAAAGTCGCAAGCTCTTAGATGTCTTTATGACGGACAGGTTAACTCTATTTTGGTTCTTTATTTGGAATACCTTATAATCTTCTCAATGGAGCAGCTCGCAGACTCCCCTTACTGATCCAGTACACAGGAAAAATCGAAGGAAAGAAGGCAAAAACCAGTGCAATATCAATCTGCGCTCTGCTCTAAACTCAAGGAAAATTGTCATCAGGAGAAGCTTCGTTCAAGAAGAAGGTACTCACGAGCAAAACTTCAGCCAATGAAGGATGACGGGCAAGCTCAGCAAGTTTGGACTGACCATCTGAGCATCCCGATCTCTAGCGCTTGCGAGTCACATGCCCTGAAACGGCTGCATCAGGGGCAGCTGTTTCATGTGCTTTCTCGACAGCCTTGGTTACAATAGAAAGGGACGCAGGAGTTGAAATGACACCTCCCCAGATGAACTGAACGTCCCAAAAACCAGACTGGGCTGTCGTATGGACCGAAGGGATTAGCCTGTACTTTCAAGGCCTCGTACAGCGTTCAATATTCCTGATACTACTCGATATCATCCGATGCCAGCTCTCTAAGAGCAATCAATTGGTCGATGTACAACGAATCTTGGTATATGCTCTAGATGAGAGTGATCATTTGGTTCTGTAAAGCTACTTGTTGGGTCAGGAAGCTCGTGGATCGAGTGATGAATGCTTGATATTTCGGGGCGAAGACCATCTGTTATCTTGGTAGACCTGCTCAGTAGCCAAGGCTTGGTCAATTTGGAGCCTTGCATAAAATTAGCATGCGTTTCCCGAACTCAAGGAGCCATGGTGCGCACCACGCATTGTAGGCTCTCGAATTGGTCTCTTGCACCGCATCCTTTAATTCTGGGCGGTTGAGCAGCTCTAAACCTAGCCAGATTTACTTCCAAGCCCTCAATTCCAATTTAAACGTCTTATTTAATCCAGCTGCCCCAGTTTCAGGGTTATCACCCAAAGTGCTGCTCGCCGAAGCCTGGAACTGTGGGTATGTTGATAGCATCTCAAGATTGGGTGGGAAACGATCTACAATCATCCAGTAAGACTGAATTCTATTAGCTTTGGATCTCTCTGTTGAACGCTCACTTACCTTAATGTAGGCGTTCACAGCTACGTTCATTCCAATCATATCCTGCATATAGTTCCACCCTGCTAGTGCGTCGGATGCAAGACTCAAAAGATTACCGGTACGCTTCACTTGTGTCCCTCCGTACATGAGATAAAGAAAGTCGTCACAGTTGAGCTTGGTAGTTTACTGTACTTTGAAGAGTCTGCGATACTCAGCGGCTTTGGGAGCTGTGGTCAGAGCGTCCAAGTTCTAATCAACTCACCAACGTTCCTCAAGCAACAAGCTAATGAGCCCGGATGCAATTGGCCTATATTTGATCCGTAGCTACCCCATGCACGCCGCCAGTGTCATTCAAGAGCGAAAGGTAACAGGTATGGGAGAAACAAAGAATCGCAGGGGTCTTTAAAGGGTTATGTAGGGAACTGTTGGAAAACATTTCAGCTTTTCCCACTTACAAGACAGTCGCAATTTGCTCGACGAAGAAAGCTCGGGGACTTGGTTCCGTTTTCCACAATTAGGTGCGGTGTAGTGTGTCTTCTGACTGGGCCATGAGTGAAAAGATCATCGTGTTTACCGTACGCAGCCCCTCTACTGTGCGATTGCAAGAGGCATGATGTAGGTTTAGGTCCTTCCCATTCCCTCTATTTTGCTTCTAAATAGCCTTTAATCTTGCACGGTTCCTTCAGAAAAACAGGCCTATTCATCCGTGATCATCGCATAAATCTGAGAATTCGCGTTTTGGGATTGCGGGAGTTGGTTTTCATGGGGACGTGTTGGTGATAGTCTTCCTAGGCTTGGGGGCTTCTTAAGGGCTTGAGCTGTGAATCATAGTCCATAGAGAAAAGTTTAGATCAAGACCAAAAATTGCATTCCATGCGATATGTGACCACCGGCCCAGACGGCGCGGCATCTATATGCCCATTGCATCTGCGCCGTTGAGCTGCCCAGACAGAACCATATGCGACCAGGTACGCCACCGACAGTATCTTCTCCCTTGTCGGGAGAGATATCTTCGGGTAAATCCCCATTCTATGTAGTGATATGAACAATAACAGCGAGCGAATATACCATATGGTCATCTCCCCCTTCCCTTTTCCTCAAATAAGACTTCATTCTCCTCTTATTCCCGCGCTTCGTATAATATACAGAGGCAGACAGACTAGACATCTAATCTTATGGCCCCTCTCCCTTTTCCTCCTCTCCATCATAAACATCGTATATCGTGAGAAAATATCAATACAGAGGCCCGTACGGATCTCAAGCAGGGTGGTTAAAAGAAGGTAACAAGTGGTAGTGACAAATGACCAGGCCCCAAAGAACGTTTTGTCCTTTTTTGCTTACCAAAGCCGAGCCCCGATTTTTAGTTTTTTAATTTCCCAAAATGTATTCCTATTTTGTTTGCCTCCGTGTGCTGAATAATGATCATAGGAGATGCTGGTGTCCGGATAGGCTGTGTCGATAGGTAATGACAGTGTGTGCACAAACAGATTGCCGAGAAACTTTGACAGGTTGAGGATGCTCTTGAGACGTTCAGACGCGGCGAGGAATCTGCGGGAACAGCGCAAACTGGGGTGATCCGTTGGCGTGGCTTCTGCTGCTTGTCCTTGCTCGCCGGTGAGTCTTCAACGGGTCTTTTGCAATGTTCAAATCAAGAGGCGTGATAGTGTCCATAGCGGGCGACTTCATCAATAGAGTCGCGTCGGATTGTGTCCTGTTGTGCGCTTCGCGAACGGATTCGGGTTGCGATGCGAGTCGGGGGGGTTCCTCAGATCGAGGTGTTACGTCAGAAGTCGGCGTGATAACTGGTTCCTTGTCATTAAGTGTGATCGAAATTGGCGGTTGGTGAGACTCTGTAAACTGGCCTTGCCAACTAGAATTGCTGCTTCCGGTCCAGCGCGTGTAGACAGACGAGGCGGATGATTTCTCATAACTCGATGCGGTGGACTGCTCCGAGGACGTGGAGATGCTTGTGGATGCACTAGATCGAGCTGGAAGGAGTGTGGCTGGTTTACCAAACTTGGAACAAGGATCCTCTAGAGAAAACCCGTTATCGTCTCCAAAACTGGATTCGCCTCTCTCGAACTGCAGCATCTTCTCATGGTAGTCATTTGGGATCAATAGACTGGGAGAAAGACTGAAACCCTGCGACTCGGTATAACTAGAGATACTTGATTGCGATGCATGATCACGCTTCAATTTAGTTGAGCTATCAATCCTTGGGAGCGAGAAATTTGAGGTTACCAGCGGCGCGCTTGTTGATGTAGCAGCCTCATGTGGTGTTGTTGCCGTAGATTCATAACTTGCGAGACTGAGTCCAGGCGCGTCATTGGCCATCATAAGCCCTGGAGACAGGAATTCGAAACTATCCGTTGATTCGAAACGGAAATGAGTGATCCTTGAGTCCTGTGCGTTACTCTCTTCGCGTTCTCCCTCGTCTAATGAGGGTCGTTCCCACGCAAAATCACAATCAGCCTCTGCCGCGTGATCATAGCAATAATCAATATCGTCTTCCCAATTATCCACGACTTCGTCATTATCTGAATATTCCGAGTCACTAGATTCGCGTAGCGCACGCTGTATCGCAAAAAGGTCCATTCTCCCCAGTGTCTCTGACGCATTGCTAGGTGATCGCCCCTTAGCCTGGCTCAAAGAGACTTGTCGCAAATATGGCACAGAAACGCTTGCCCGAAGGGATGTTCTCTTGTTTGCAAAACTATTCCTAGAATGGACAAAATATTCGTCTTCTTCTGGAACTTCTGCCAAGGATGACATGGAGGTGTTATTCAGAGGCCATGCTGAGTCCTCCATCGGCGTGATGAGCTCTTGACTAATATCTAGTTGTTCATCCAACTGCCCGGGCATGAGATGAGCTGCCGATGCTATTTTAGGGACGTCAGACAAGGCCGATGTTAATGAATTGACTTTGTGTAAACTGGAGCTGGTATTTGGGCGTTCGTCAATCGAGTCATGTCGGTCGTGCCGAACTGAAATACGACTCGATGTTCGAGGTGGCGGTGGGATTGGAGATTGGAATCCACCGTCTGCCTGTGGCTTGGAATAGTGGCGAGGTGACATTTGCAAACCGTCTCGAGATAAGGTACGCTGCAGCTCTTCTGTCGGAGTTGGAGGTGTCGGAAGCGGTTTATCTAGGGATTGCTGGAGACTCGATGGAGCGGACTGATCCACGCCGGTTTCCGTTTCCACCAAGGTATCCCTTCTTTGACGCGATGGTGGACCATCATATATCGTCTGCCGACGGTTGACCTCGTCAAGATTAGGCAGATTCTGTTTGCCAGTATGAGACACGTGTTGAAAGTTATAGGGCCCAGAAATCTGTGGTTTAGGTTTGGGAACGTCCGATTGGCCTCGAGTTCTCCTTCTTGAGAATACAGCTTGCATAAACCGTTGATCCTTGGGCAACTGTGGAGCAACATCTATAGGTAGCTCGGTAGATGATGACATAGACGCGCTCGATAAACTCTGCTCGCTGTTTTCCCTCTGCAACTTGCCTTTAAGTGTGAACATTGTCTTGCTCAACAGCTGTATGCTCTCAGGACGGTCTTTGAAGATCGAAGAACGCTGTGATGGATTGCGAGAGATGCCAAGATTGTCAAGACTGCGGTCCCATTGTGGTGTATCAGGTGCCACAGAGCTGGAGTGTGCTGACGATGATCGCGAGGAGGTCATCATCAACTCGCTCCTCTGCAGTTCTCCTACCGATCCCTGCTTCATCT